TATCCTGATAGGTTTGGTTTCTCTAACTCTTGTTATTCTTCTAATTTTTATTCCTTTCTCACTTCTATTCAGTCTCTATCTAAACTCATCTCCCATAAGGAGGCTATACTTCCTCTTTGGCAACAAGCTATGAATGAGAAGTTATATGCCTTGCATAAGACCTGAGCTTGGGATTTAGTGCCTTTACCATCCAGCAAACGCTCTATTGGCTGTAAGTAGGTTTATAAGATTAAAACCAAATCTGATGGTACTGTAGAAATATACAAGGCTTAGTTAGTAGCCAAGGGTTTTGCTCAGGAGTATGGCCTAGACTATGATGAGACTTTTGTTGTTGTTGCTAAGATGACCATTGTTCATACTATGATTGTAGTAGTTGTCATTCGTCAATGCACTTGTCTCAGATGGATGTAAAAAATGATTTCTTCATGGAGATTTATCTAAAGAGGTTTTTATGACTCTTTTTTCTGGACTATCTCATAGTCCTAGTCAAGTATGCAAACTCCACAAAGCTTTATATGGCTTTAAATAGGCTCCTAGGGCATGGTTTGATAAGTTTTCTTCAGTTAGCTGTGATTTGAATTTTCGTGTCAATGATCATGATTCTGCTCTCTTTTGTAGTTCTCTTCCTTAGGTTCTATAGTTTTCTTACTTTATGTGGATGATATGCTCATTGGTGAGGACATTGCTGGCATACAGCTATTAAAAAATCAATTGTAGAATCATTTTGAGATGAAAGATAAGGGTCAGCTTTGGTATTTTTTGGGTATTGAGATTGCTTCCTCTCCTCTCTCAGTCTAAGTATACATTGGATGTTATTCAACGATCTCGGTTATCAGATAATCGGATAGTTAAGACACCTTTAGAGCTCAATGGCCGTTATTTTTCCTCTGATGGTACTTGTTTGCTAGATCCTACCCTCTACCGCATTATTGTTGGAAGTTTGGTCTATCTTATTATTACTCATCTAGATATCTCTTATGTTGTTCATATTGTGAGTCAGTTTTTTGCCTCACCTACCATTGTTCATTGGGCTGCAATTCTTTGTATTCTCCGGTATCTTCGAAGTATTTTGCATTAGAGTCTATTATTTTCTTCCTCCTCTTTTATGGAATTTGTGACTCTATGGATCACAGGTGCACCACTAGCTTCTATCTTTTTCTTGCAGATTTTCTTATTTCTTGGAAAAGCAAGAAGAAAACTATTGTTGCTTGTTCTTCAACTGAAATTGAGTATCATGCGATGACATCTATCACCATTGAGGTAGTCTGGTTACGATGGTTGCTTGCTGATCTTGGTGTCTCTTTATTTGGTCCTACTTCTATGTATTGTGACAACACCAGTGCTATTCAGATTACTCACACCCCAGTCTTTCATTAGCGTACCAAGTATATTGAGATTGACTGTCACTTTTTGCGTCATTATCTTCAGCTAGGCGCAATCTCTCTCTTTTTTCTTCTTTCTGCTATGCAGTTAGCGAATTTCTTTACAAAGTCTCATACTATTGTGCACTTCCGTTTTCTTTTTGACAAATACTTGATGTTTTGTACCACCACATCATGAATTTAAGGGTGGATGTTAGTGTATTCTAGTATATTAACCTTAGGGGTAATTTAGTTGTTTCAAGTTATTTACGTTGTCCTAATATATAAGGGTTTCTATTGTTTATTCTAGTTTAATAATGTTGCACTGACCAATTGTGTGTTAATGATATTCTCTTCTTCTTCCTCTTCTCTTCTCTTCTCTATGATTGATCAAAGTTAACAATATCTAGTATTTAAAGATAGAGGAGGTATCTTTCAAAAAAAAAGAGATGGAGGAGGTAATGTGTAGCTGGACTAAACCTCAAGGAGATAATCTGTAGTTAGCCCTATTTAATTTCATAATCTCAGAGGTTCATGATGAGCCCAATTGTGAACGGACCACATTAGTAAAATATCATGATCATATTTAATTCTCAAAATTTATTGACAATGGAAAGACTTTAGTTTCATATCAGCCAATTGAAAATCCATTAGACAAAATAAAAAGTATTGGAAACGAAACAAATTTAGCTATTTATTTGTACTTTATGTTTATTAAATAAAATTATCTTTCAACCCCTCCCAAATAAAAACGAAAAATAAAATTTTTGATTCTTCTTTCGGGTTAAATTCCACAAAATTATGAGTCAACTGAAATTTTGAGAGACGGAGAGAGATAGACTTCTCGAGTTAAGGAATTAAAGTTAAAAGATTGTGAGACCATCTTCAATCCTTACCCTTTTTTAGGGCTAAATTCTTAAATACCTTTTTTAATATTATACTCAAACTCATACCAAATCAAGAGAGACTCAAATTTTTATCTTTTTCACAAATTGTTAGATTTCATTCTCCTTTAAAAATCTAATAGTCATATTATATCTCATTTAAATTTAAGTTTGTCTTCCTTTAAATTTGAGTTTCTCCATCGTAGAGGTCTATAGTAAATTAAGCTTTTTACCTCTTTTTTATACAAAAATTTAAATAAGAATTTAAGTTTTCTTTGGAGATGGTCGGAGCTAGCTATAAAAGCACAATTTTTACTTCCTAGAAACCAAGATTTAAATTTTTACTCAAGTTCAATCAAGAGTCAATTAGGACTGATAATTCTTAATATTACTCCCATCCACGTACCGAAACATTTGAAAAGCTATTGAATATAGACACCCAAGTTGACCTACTAAACATGCATAGTAAAATAAAAACAAAATCGACACATACTTGAATATATATGATGAGAATTTTATTATACATAATTTATACAAGAAAAGAATTATATATAATAATAGATAGATAATATATTTATTTTATACTGCTTGGACACTATACATGAAAGGTATACATGACCTCTCATGATTTACTTAATTTTGACTGACTTATCTTTGATCGGGCCGGTTAGGCCTATGTGAAAATGATTTTCAATTTTTAACATAGGTTTTTTTTTTTTTGGATTCCTAACAATGCAAATTATATCCTTGTGAAAAATGTTTCCTTCATAGCTTGTCTCCAATCTATTTATCTATATAATACAATTCAAATTTTAAAAGATAAATAAAATGACTTTTATTTTTTGTGGTTGAAATGACTTTAAATTTTATTATAAAATTAATCTGACGGTCAATATTAACCCTCCAAATTTAATAGGAAAAATAAACTCCTAATAGTGTGTTTGTGTTGATTTTTCAAAAATATTCTTTGAACTTATAACTTTTCATAAGTATTTTAAAATAAAAAATTAGTGTTTTGAACAGCCCCACCACTCCGACTGTCCCACCACCACCGCCAACCCACCACCACATCTACCCCCACCACCAACACTCCCACCGCCCCACCACCATCACCACCTCTGTTGCCACCTAACCACCACCACCCCTCCCCCCACACCATCACCACCACAACTATCCCCCCCCACCAACGCCATCGCCGCCACCCCACCTTCTCCTTTGCCACAACAACCACCCCCACCATTATCGCCACCCCACCACCCCCACCGCCCCACCACAACCATTACCACCACTACCACTACCACTCCATCAACACCACCACCACTATCGCCATTGTCCCACCCCCACTGCCCTAGCACCACCCCCACAACCATCACTACTACCACCACCGCCCCTGCCCTAGCATCCCCACCCACCACCGATTACTACCACCATTGTCCACCTCCAGCACCCACTACTATCGTCATTTCATTCTTATATTTATTATCACTACCACCATCATCCACGACCACCATCACCCACCACCACTACCATCGTTGTCCACCAACACCCACCGCCACCTACTACCACAACCCACCACCACCCATCGTTGCCCACTATCGTTGTCAACCACTGTCACCCACCCCCACCACACCTACCACCATCACCAATCATCGCCCACCACCGTTGTCATTTACTATCACTCACCCCCACCACAGCTACCACAACCACTATCATTTGCCACCACCCATAACAACTATCGCGCAAAAGCACCCGTTGTCGCCTACTACCACAACCCCCCATCGCCACCGTCGTTTGCCAACCACCATCACCGTTGCCCACCGCCACCCTCACCGTCACCCATGGTTACCACTACGACCATAGTCACCCAAAACCCACCACCACCATCACCATTGCCACCAACGCCTGCCACCACCCACCAAAATCATCACCATCTTACACCACCACCACTACAACCCACCCTCACTATAGTCGGTTCTTAAATTTCTTTCTCTCTTTTATATATTTGTGATTTGATTTTGGGTATGAATACAAATATTTTTAGTGTTGACTATTTTTTTATTATTTTGTGCCTTCAGACAAAGATAATAACTAATTTATTTAAATATTTTCAAACAAATGTAAAGAATCTTCAAATAACGAGCCTAGATAATTAAACACCCATTTGCTTGTTGACCTGTGCTCGGTAGATGCAACCCATTGCTTTATGCTGCAGTTTTATCTAATTGGAATCAGAGGGGGAAAAAATGTGAGTTTTTATTCATTAACTCTCCTATAAGTTAGCATTATCTTAATAGTGACGACAAGTTCAAGATAATAATCAGTCTTGCAAAGGAAAACTACCTTAATTTCTTCCACCTTTGGGTTACAAATCCCTTCAAAGTATACGTTTTCCATCAATGTCCACCAGGTAAATCACTCATCACATATGGTTGGGGGAGTAATATATAAATAATTGGTGTTAGATAAATTCAAGCTGGTGATCTACCCTTCAATGAAATTGAAGAAAAGTGTAGAGAGTGGATTTCACTCCTATTCGCACGACTTGAAAACACGTTATATAATGACATATCTGAGGCGTTACAAATTATATCAAAGTTTATATCGACTCGAAATGTGTAATATGGATAAATCACAAGCTTTTGTCATTGTCAATTAACTAAGTAGGGTCTAAGGCCCTGCAAATCTGTAAATCTGAGGAGCATACATTCTTTGTTGAACCCACATTTTCCATAAAATATACTGATGGATTTTCATTTCAGATTTCAAATCCATGTCTCTTTCCAATCAGCTCCTTCACTTTCTTGGTGAACTGTTCAAAGTTTTTCTCTGATGATCCATCAATGTCCAGTGCATTCTCCAGTGTCTTCTTCACTTTCTTCATCTCCTTTCTCAGCTCATCCGACGCATTTTCACTCATCAGAGAATTATTTTTTTCCACAACTTCCTCCCTTGTGATTGATTTCTTATCACATAAATTGATTCATATCCTCCAGACATCGACCACCGATTTTTTATTAGTGATTTGATCGTGCATAAAAAGAAAACATATCAACGGAACCCCACACCATATGCTTTCCAATATTAAATCCCACCCACAATGAGTCAAGAACCCTCCAATTGCCAAATGTAAGATCACTTCAATCTGACACCACCATGGCACGCTCAAGCCTCGATCTCCAATCACATTTTAAATCCAAAGGGCAAAATTGAGAACCTCGATTGAGGAGGGATCATAGCGCAGGAGAATCAGGTACTCATATGCACTCAACCATTGATTGGAAGTGTAACAACCCACTCAAACTTATGATGAGATCATGCAGAAGATCATGAAAACAACAATGATTTAGAGATTCCGGAGCTCAGGAGCAGAAAAATAATATCGTCCAAGCTAGTAGTGTTCAAAGTGCAGAACCCGAAAGTCCAATACTAACGATTTAACTTGAAACCTGAAGATTCCAACAATATCCAGTATAAGCTTAGGCAGTCGAACACGGTTTTGAAACCCTAAACGGAGACAGGACTCATCCAATGGCTAAAACCAATGTTACCAGCTGAATAATTATCCATATCCCATCAAATGGGGAAGCAACAATTACACATTAATCAAAAAGTAAAGAAATTTCAACACAAAACAGTGACACATTAACAAAGATAACCTAACTATACAGGTCATCATCATCGGCTCCACCAGCAGAAGCTGCAAAAGGGTCAGGTCTGGTAGCACCGGCACTGGTCTCTGAGAATCGAAATTCAGTACCAAACCCTCTTGACTGCTGCAATGTCTGGGCAAAGGCCTGATACTTGCGAATGTCAGCATCGCTAACACTCCTCCGAGCATACTTCATTGATTCCTCAAAGTGAGCAGCCTTGATCTCCGCCACCTCATCTTCGACATCCTCCTCCATGGCCTCAGGATTCTCCCTTCTCCTCCTCTCCCTCTCAATATCCTGCAAACCACACAAAATTGTGTAAAGACATCTACCATATAAACCACATACAAAAGAATTTTAGTGCCATTAGATAATTGAGTCCCTACATGCATTTCACGCAAATTGAATGGACTCATTCCTATTTTCAAAACAACAGATGTTACTTTTCTTTTTACCCCTGGACATTTGTAGAGCAAAATGGCTCTTCAGAATTTACAATCCGCCATACAGTGCCACCCTACATCCCAAAAGGGAGAGTAAAACACAATAACCAACAACTTTCATATCACAACAGCCCAAGCAAAAGAACTTTGTAAGATCACAACAATTTATAATGTTTGTTAAGATCATTCACAATGCAAGTGAATGATCTTAACAAATCGTTCAAATTCCAAGATAATAGCAATCATTTAATTTACATATGCAGAACACAGCTCAAAATTATTGCAAAGAGATAATGCGGTGAGCTGTTGTGTTAATAGACAATACATTATCTAATCTCTACCTCAGGACACAGTGACCCTAAATATACTGCCTTGTAAGTTTTGGTGAAGTCAATACCACATGCAGCAAGCAACTTCATTGTTACCAGGCACCACTAATTCTGTGCCTTGCCACAAAGAAAGCACTTACGATACTTACAACAAAGTAACCACCGAACTTTCTGACATGGTGCAACACCATTGCCCTCATGGATTACACATCACACTACCAATATTGGGAAATAGGAGATGAGGAAAAGAGGATAAAGCACTAAAAAGGAAGCATATATACTTACTTTCTCAATGTTCTCTCTGATGGCATATTTGCATGCGCGTTGGCTTATTTCTGTAATATCAGCACCACTGAAGCCTTGAGTGTACTTAGCAAGGGCCCTCAGGTCAACATCTTTGGAAACAGGAGATTTCCTCAGGCATGCCTTGAAAATACTATAGCGAGACTCCTCATCAGGCAGAGGGATATATATCAACTGATCAAGACGGCCAGGCCGCAAAAGCGCAGGATCAATTATATCAGGCCTGTTAGTAGCACCAATAATGAAGACAGTTTTCTTGGCAGACATTCCATCCATTTCAGTTAAAAGTTGATTCAAAACCCTATCAGCAGCACCCCCAGCATCTCCTACACTGCTTCCCCTCTGAAAGAAGTAGCGAAACACGGCAAGTCAGGAGCAACGAGAAAAGTATTGCAACTACTGTGTAAGTTAGAAAACAACAAAACAAACCTGTGTAGCAATCGAGTCCAGTTCATCAAAGAACAAGACGCAAGGAGCAGATTGGCGAGCCTTATCAAATATTTCTCGCACATTGGCCTCGCTCTCTCCAAACCACATAGTAAGCAATTCAGGACCCTTGACACTGATGAAATTCGCCTGACATTCATTGGCAATAGCCTTGGCCAGCAGAGTTTTACCACATCCAGGTGGACCATAGAAAAGAACTCCCTTCGAGGGTGACATACCAAATTTTTCGAACTTTTCAGGATGTTCCACAGGATATTGCACTGTCTACATGACAAATAGCACAAGTAAATGAACTTAGTTGCAAGCAAGACAATAGAGTACTAAAAGCGGAAACTAATACATACATACAAAACTGTTCAGTAACTATGCTTACCTCTTGAAGCTCCCTCTTCACATTCTCGAGGCCTCCAATATCATGCCAGCTGACATTGGGTACTTCAACGACCTGTCTCATCAAAAAATTAATTATCAAGCCTATTCAACACAATCATACCTTAACACATTAATCAATATGACAAGTCTACTTACTGTTTCACGCAGAGCAGAGGGATTGCTTGTTCCCAGGGCAGTCTGGAAGTGCTCATTGGTAACAGCCATGGAGTTGAGTATCTCTGCATCTATGGACTCATCTTCCAGGTCAATTACGTCCATCTTCTCCCTGATGCATTGAAGTGCAGCCTCTGTGCAAAGTGCTGCTAAATCAGCACCAACATAGCCATGTGTGTCCTTGGAAATTCTTTCTAAATCAACCTGCACAAATGATATCATATTAGATGTCACAAAAAGTCATCCATAAAATGAATTGTGAACTCAACAGGAAGGTTTGAAGTTTGTTCATCTTACATCTTCAGAAAGCTTCATGTTCTTTGTATGGATACGCAGCACCTCAAGACGCCCAACTTCATCTGGAACACCAATATCTATTTCTCTGTCAAATCTCCCAAACCTTCTCAAGGCAGGGTCAATGCTATTGGGACGATTTGTAGCACCAATAACAATAACATGGGCACGGGATTTAAGGCCATCCATAAGGGTCAAGAGCTGGGAAACTATCCTCCTCTCAACTTCTCCATGAGTTTTCTCTCGCTTGGGAGCAATTGAATCAATCTCATCAATAAAGATAATGGATGGTGCATTCTTTTCTGCTTCCTCAAATGCTTTCCTGAGATTGCTTTCACTCTCCCCCGCCAATTTCGACATAATCTCTGGTCCATTGATACAGAAGAAGAAAGCACCAGTTTCATTAGCAACAGCTCGGGCTATTAAAGTCTTTCCAGAACCAGGAGGTCCATAAAGCAGAATTCCTTTGGGTGGCTTCACACCAATTGATTTGAAGAGCTGTGGATGCCTTAATGGAAGCTCTACTAACTCCCGAATCTGAGCCATCTGTTTACGAACACCACCAACGTCATCATAACCAATCTCATCCAAACGATCCTCATCCTCCCTTCTCACAGGCTCTCCCTCGCAGAAGATCTCAGTGTCAGGAGCAACAACACAGTACTCAGGAGGATCAGTCTCAATAACCTTAAATTCAACACTTCTCATTCCTCCCCTTACGAGAAAGAGGTCGCCCTTCCTCACAGGGCGGTATGACTCCAGAAAATAAGCTACAAATATCAAAGAAGAGGCCTCAAAGCTCAACCACATAACCAAAATATGAGCAAATATAAAGGAGGGAACAAATGCAATAATGTTTCAACAAGAATATAGACACTAAAAATAACACTCATTAATTAGGGATTGGGAAGAGTAGATTGGATACAAACCTACCCTTAACATTATTTAGACAAATTGGTCGCCCACAAGTTTGAACCTATAACCTCAAGGTTATTGGACCAAATTTTTTTTTTTAGCTTGGAAAGTATTGGACCTAATTATAACCACAAGAATAAAACTAGGCTACCAAATTTTTCCTAAAAAGGAGAAAAAAAAAGTGGCATGTGTCGGAACAACCAACATACGAGTACAAAGCACTTGTTTTTCTTTGATTGGAAACCATGTTTAAGTAGGTGGAGAATTTCCGAGGTTGAAGATTCTGTAATCATTAACACGCAAACAAATGACGAACTTTACTGATTCTGTTTTGTGACAAACTGATTATTGTTGATGTCAAAAGGGTGTTTGCACTTGGAGATGAACAAAGTCAAAATACTAGCCACTACTCTCGGTAGCTTGATGGTGCAAGAACATATGGCAAAAATTAAAATCGAAAATAGGCTTGAGAATAACTTTTGGACAGAATACAAGTCGGTAATTATAGAAACTTACGCTTCAAGTAGGCATCAAATAAATTCCCAGTGACCCCTTCAATAGTGTCATCCACCGGAAGAATGTGAACACGCTTCCCATATTTGACATCAGCACATTGATGCACAGAAACAACATCTCCAAGTCTAACCCTCAGGTTTGATCTGACAACCTTGTTCATCCTGATCTTTGGTTCATCGCAAGTATCATCAGCAAGGGCAATGCAAATAGTATCTTTTCTTTTCTTTCCCTGAAGATCAAAAGTCAAAATACAAATAAATGAATTGTAGATCGAGTATGTACAAGTAATCTAAAATAGATGTGTTATAACAATCCCAACCGGCACATGAAGGTGTGTCTCATTAGGACCCATGAATAAGCTCTAATATTTTTATACCACAGGAATCTAACAACAATAAATTTCACACTACACAATCTACAGGCTACCATACATGCAATAAAAACTTCGTAAAACTTCGAAGGAAAACCTAACAATGGAAAGAAAAACTTTGGCATTGCAATTGGAATTGGAGAAGAACTTGTCCGATCTCTAAAATTATTTTTTTAGGCAATTGACTACTCTCCAGACTCCAACCTGGAAATTCAACGAAAAAGATAAATGTCAAGTGAAACACAAACCAAGCCTTACTACTCAGGCATAACCAATTGGGCAAACCCTCGCCACTTTTCGTGTATTGCATTCAGTTGTTATCTTTATTCAAGTGTTATGTGTCTCATGACTCAATATACATGCATATTATCTTGCAGGCCCCTTTGATTAACCAACATTGGATACACATACTCATTACCCGCAAAGCACAAACAAATTGGGCTTCAAAAGTTCAATATTTTAATAGCCATGACACAATTACTTCACCGATCCACAGCCCACCAGATAAGAACCCCTCCAAACACCTATGGATAAATCCCCTCAATGAAAACCCCTAATTCCAACCACCCTAAAAGAATCCCCAAAATCCAAATCAAAACCAACCCTACAACACCTTAAAAACATAAAATGCACACGCAAACTCAATGGATGTCATAAAACTGGAAAAAAAAAAATGGAACCTTGATCAAGATCGTATCGCCACGGAAAAGCTGAAGCTTCTCCATTGTCTCAGGATGGAGCGAGACCACCGAGTTGTCATCGTTAGTTGCCTCGTCGACGACGAGCCGATTCGGCGCCTTCTTTCGCTCCAGAATCGCCGTACTGAAGTCCCTCTTCGTCCCCTTTCTGCACACAAAACCCACAATCACAAAATACACAATTAGAAATCAAAACAAATATATCAAAATATACCCAACATACATACACACAATCACGTCTGTGTGTGTGTGTGTGTGTGTGTGTGTGTGTGGAAATCTGGGAATGGAGAGACTTACGAGTCGGAAGATTCAGCTTGATTACTCATGATGTGAACAGAGATTGAAAAAAGAACTGAAGAGAGAGAGAGAGAGAGCGCGCTTCAATTTGGTAACATGGGTTTGGTTTATGAGAGATCTGGGGATTAGGAGGTGGATATTTATAGAGAGGTGTGCTTCGTTTCTTGTTGGTAAAGAAAAGTTTGTGTGTGGATTTCACTTTCCTCCTCTGTTTTCACTAACTTTCCAGATATGCATGGCTGCTTTTGGGTTATTGCATTAACCTTTTTTGTGTTAATAAATTGCGTTGCCGGTGTTGATATTTAAGTAAATTTTTGGGGTTTGTATGTATTTTATTGGATTGGAAAGTAACTATACTCAAAATTTTAATACTTTTACATCCGAAGCAAGCAAATTCAAACTTTACTTTTGAATAAATATAATAGAAAAGAGTAATATTTTTTTTGATACCCACAACCAATTTAATAATTATGATGAATTAAGTTAATAAATTAAATTTAAATAATATTATTATTGACTAAGAACACCGCACGGACCTATGGAAATTAGTTTTTGAGTCCCTAACCTTTATTTTATTTTAGAATTAATATGAAATTAGGTGATTTTACATTGCAAAGCATATTTGAAGTGTTTCTTTGCTAAAAATTATATATGTAAGATAATTTTATATACATTCATACTAGTATCGGTCATATTTCTTTTTATTGAGAAATCAGAAAAACAATAGAGGGATTTTGTTTAGTCTCTTCATATAGTCACTACTCATGTGGTACCTAAAAATTATTCAACTCTATAATACTAGTGAAAATCCAAGTTGTCTCGGTTCAACTAGAACTATAGTTCTTGAATTTTTATGAAAATCAAAATCAAAGAAAAAGAAATTTTCTAATCACTACTTCAAATCTATTTTTGAATCTTATTTAGCAAAATATGGAAGTGTTTATGTCAGAACGGACCATTTTGGTCATTTACAATAAAGTGAGAGACTGCACTGTTATGAAACGATTTATCAATAGATGAATTCGGAATGACATACCTTGGATCAAGGATCAAAATTTTATTTTAAAGTAGTCAAAATGTCTTAAACGTTTTCATTTCGAGATGTTTCATAATATTTTGAGGTATTTTGTATTGTTTCAATGCATTTGCACAATTGTTTCGAAAAGTTTCAAGATATTTCAACATAATTTGATATGTTTCGATCAATATTTTAGAAAAATAATTCTTAATTTTTTTTATTATTTTTTTGAAATGAGTCAAAATATTTTCAAAACACATCGAAACGTTTTTATTTTCTAGATGACCGAAACGAAATTTTGATCATTGTGCTCGATCAAATAAAGACTCTGGTTTTCAGTTCTTTTGTAATACTAAATAAAAACATTCTCTATTTGTCTTTAAAACTTATTCACTGGATTGTGTTTATACCTATTAAGCACGGATATAGATATAGGATACGAGTACAATACGATAGGAAAACGACAATACGACAAAGTCTAAAAAAGTAGGATACAGATACGGCCAAGGTACAACTATAATAAAATATTTTTAATATTTTTTTTATTTTCAACCAACTTAATTTTTATATATTTTAATAGTTCTTTAACATATAATAAGGAAAATTAATAATTCTTGTTAGTTTCAAGAAAATATATATCGTGTCGTTGTGGTATTTTCACAAAGTAAAGTGACTAATTAAAAAAATCAAAGCTAATATTTATTATTTACCTAGTATTTAGAAGTAATTTTTGCTAAGTTTATAATGTAATAGCTTTATTTTTTGTTAATGTATTGTATGGTACGTGAATTCGAAAAGAGATCTTAAAAGTTCAACTAAAAAATATATTTGTTGCTCGACTACAAAAGTATCCGTAAAGTATTCTAATATTTAATTATTATCGAATACGTAGAAAATGTATCTAATACGTATACTCGAGTATCCAACGAGTATCATATATAATACAATATTTAATACAGATACGTCAACTTTAACAAAATATTCATGCTTCATAAATTTATCCAAAATCTTTTTACTCCATCGTATTTTTAATAGGTTTTGAATATCTAGAGACTAGAATGTTCCATATTCCTACTAAAAATAATCTTACTAGACTCCAAACAAAATTTCTAGTCCTAATAAAATCAAGGCTCAAGAAATGTATGGCTATTATTTAATCTCATAGACTCATGATGAGCCCAAACGTGTACGGATCACATTAGTAAAATATCATGATCATATTTAATTCTCAAAATTTAATGACAATCGAAAGACTTTAGTTTCATCTCAGGGAAATGAAAATCCATGAGAAAAATAAAAAGTATAGGAAACCAAAACAATTTAGCTATTTATTTGTGCTTTTTGTTTATTAAATAAATTTATATTTCAACCTTCCAAAAAAAATAAAAAAAAAATCTGATTCTTCTTTCAGGTTAGAAGAAACAAAGATTTATTTTTTTTTCTCAATTTCTCAACATGCATAGTTAAAAAAAATTGTACATACTTAAGTGTGTGTGAATATATATATATATAGAGAGAGAGAGAGAAAAAAAAAAACAATTCTTTGTAAAAGTAATCGTTTCTTAAATGAGTTATTTACTTTTGGTAAAATCCAATACAATAATGAAAGAAACGATGTTTTATTATATACAATTTATGCCGGATAAGAATTATCTATCTAATATTACAATTAAAATGTTGAATTCTCAACATATTAAAATACAACAACAATCAAAATTAATGTAATTTTTGTCTATTTTAATTTAATGGTACAAAATTTATTCCAAAATTTATTTTTTTTTACTTAAAAGCATTTATGCGCCGCCCCCAATCATCAATGTCAAACAACTTCATTAATCCACACTTATTTCTCTCTGTTTAAGATTAATTTTGAGTTGTGTAATTAAAATTTTTTATTTAAAATATAAATATTGCATGACCAATTTTCAATTTTTATTTTTGTAGAGTGTATATGGATACAAAGTTATTGCTTCTACATGACAATAGACAGATAATATATGCATACTGATACTGCTCAGACACCATACACAAAGGTTTGCATGAGCTTTGTGCTACTAACATGTCAGCAAGTCTTTTTTTTTACAATGATAAGACAAGTCATCATGTCAAAACTATGGTATTTACGACGGATAAATTTTTCATCACCTAACCTCAAAGAATTATCAAAATTTAAATTCAAAACATCTAAATTTACAACTCGTCTCTGCTAATACTAAAATTACCCTTGAGATGACAGGTCTAAAATGACATGCCAAATTGCCAAGACCACAGCCATATAGGTCCATCATCCATGTGAAAATGATTTTCAATGTTTAACATAGACTTTTTCTTTTTTTGGGTTGGATTCCTAACAATGCAAATTATTATATCCTTGTGGAAAATGTTTCCTTCATGGCTTGTCTTCATTTATTTAAATCTTTTCAAACAAATGTAAAGAATCTTCAAATAATAAGTCAAGATAATTAAACACCCCTTTGCTTGTTGACCTGTCCTTGGTAGATGTTCTCCATTGCTTTATGCTTCAGTTCTATCTAATTGGAATCAGAAGGTAAAAAAAAAAAGGTGAGTTTTTATTCATTAACTCTCCTGTAAGTTAGCATTATTTTAATATTGACTCATTGACGACACCACCAACACCACTGCTCCACCACCAACACCAACACCTCTGCTGCTGCCACCCCCACCACCACAACCACCCCCACCACCACTACTTGTAAACACGTATTTCGTTGAATCCATGTTTTTTGTAAAATGAATTGAGGGATTTTCATTTCAGATTTCAAGTCCATTTCTCTTTCCAATCAGCTCCTTCACTTTCTTGATGAATTGTTCAAAGTTTTTCTCTGATGATCCATCAATGTCCAGTGCATTCTCCAGTGTCTTCTTCACTTTCTTCATCTCCTTTCTCAGCTCATTTGACGACGTATTTCCTCTCATCAGAGAATTAATTTTCTCCACAACTTCCTCCCTTGTGATTGATTTCTTATCACATAAATTGATTCCTATCCTCCAGTCATCAACCACCAATTTTCTATTAGTGATTTGATCGTACACAACAGGAAAACATATCAATGGAACCCCACACCACATGCTTTCCAATATCGAGTTCCACCCACAATGAGTCAAGAACCCTCCGATTGCCGAATGTGAGATCACTTCAATCTGACAACACCATGGCACAATCAATCCTTGATCTCCGATCACATCTTTAAATCTATCAGGCAAATTATTATCACCTTCCAAATTTACAATACCAGGCCGAACCACCCAAACAAAGGTCACTCCGCTGAGCAAAAGGCCATGGGCAATCTCCATGAAATCATGTTCGCTAATATTTGCAAGGCTACCAAATGAAACATACAAAACTGACCCATGTGGCTTAGTGTCGAGCCACCGAGTGCACTCGGACTCGGACCAAAGGTTCGTATCCACAATGCTTTTGGTGAAGCCAAGAGGGAAGATGGGTCCAATTGCATAGGTGGGTAGCTTTTGTTGTAGAGCTGAGATGGTTTCGGATTCAAGTTCTTGGACTGTGTTACATGTTACAATATCTGCTTTCTTGACCTGCTCAAATGCCTTGAATATCACTCGGTGCACCAATGTGGATATATCAGTCTTCTGGAGAGTAGACATCAAGTCCTTGGGCTCTATTGCTTGGACCCCTGGTATGTAATCAATCGTGTCCTTGCGATTATCTGATATATATATTCACAGAAAAATGATTGATGTTGTCATATGCTTGAGTTCGTATATGATTGAATGTGCATGTTTCTATACATAAGCAAACATGCATGTGGTGACCATATATATTTGAAGTATTACTTGAGTTATTGAGTTTGAGTATTCTTAGATACAATTGGATTGTACTTAACAGAACATGAGCTTGATTGCCTAGAATAGATTCTTGCTCAAACTCGACAAAATTTTATATGCACTTGAGTTGGACGGAATTTTTAAAAAAACAAAACTCCAAATTCTAAATTTGAATAACCGATGTTAAAATAATAAATTTTCCTATTATAATCTCTCAAAAATTGTATAATCAACTAAAAAACTAAACCCTAAAGTTCAAATTTCTCAAAAAATTATTGAAAAAGAGAAGAAAAATTACATTAAACTATTTGAGGATAAATTTGAGACTCTTCTTCTGATTGAAGATTGTTTGACAAAAAAAAAATATGATTAATTATACAACTAAACTTATTCAAGTCTATTTAAAGTGAGACACAAGTCACTTATAGTCAGCTCACACATAAAATATCATCAAATTTGATTTATTTTACAATTTGAAATAACCTGAATTAGTCAAATTGAGCTCATCTTAGCAGAATTCAAACCATTAGAATTTTTATCAACTTATGTACACAATATATATACTAGTTATTGCCCGTGCCTGAAGGCATAGAGTAATAAAAAAAATGATCAACAGTAAATATATTTGTATTCATACTAAAAATCATATCACAAATATAGAGGAAAGAGAAAGGAATTTAAACACCGATTTTAGTGGGGATGAGTAGTGATACTGGTGGTGGGCGGCAGTAGGGGTGGTAAGAGACGGTGATGGTAGTGGTGGGTAGCGACGACTGATGGTGGCAACGATCGATGGTGGCGACAATCGATGGTGGTGACAATCGTAGTGATGATGACAGTCGTTGGTGACAACGATGATGGTGGTGATGGTTTGAGGTGACGATGGTAGTAGTGATAGTCATGAGTGACAGTGATGATGGTTAACAGTGGTGGGACGACGGCGGTGGTTAGGGGTGTTTAAATTTTCAATTACCCTCAAATTCTAATCCTAACTCGAATGTTTTATTGATGTTTATGGCTTTCTTGTTATGTTTTATTGTACTTGTTTTTTTATTGTATTTTCTTTAGTGTTATTGATTTATTGTATTAGTTAATTGGTGCATGTTACTTAATTAAATTGTTAAAATAATCCAAAAATTAATAACTAAAAAACATGTGTTCACTGGATTTCTTATTCGACTTCCTACCCAATTGTTTTTGATAAAATTTTGGTAGGAGTAGTACACTTAATCGAGTAACGTAAACCAATAAAAAATTATTTAGCTAAGTATCGATTAGGAAGATGTAATACCATAATTCTAACCCGTAAGGTAGGGTGAACACCCCTAGTAGTGGTGGGTTGTGGTGGTGGGCGGTGACAAGGTGGTGGTAGGCGACGAATGGTGCTTCTAGGCAACAGTGTGATGGATAGTAGCGAATGGCGATGGTGGTAGGTGTGATGGGGGTGCGTGACATTAGGTGGCAATAGTGGTGGACGATGACAGATGGTGGTGGTTGGTAGTGATAGGTGTGGTGGGGGGTGGGTGATAGTGGCTGGCGGCGATGGTGGATGACGACGGGTGATGATGGGTTGTGATAGTGGGTGACGAAGGGTGGTGATGGACAACAATGGTGGTGGTGGGTGCAGTGGGCGACAGTGGTAGTAGGATGATAGTGGTAGTGGTAATAAATATGAGAATGAGATGACAATAGTGGTGGGTGACGGAGGTGGATGGCGGTGGTAACAATCGACAGTGGATGATGATGGTGGTAAGGGTGACGGTGGTGCAATGAGGGTGGCAGTGGTGGTGAGAGTTGGGTGGCGACGGTACTGGTGGTAGTGGTGATGGTCTTAGGGGTGGTGGCGGGATGGTGAGGGTAAGGGTGGTGGGGGTAGGGGTGTGGTAGGACAGTGACGATAGTGATGGATAGGGGTGGTGGTAATGGTAATGGTGATGGTGGGGTGGTGGGGGTGGCTTTAGTGGTGGTGTTAAAGTGGCGACAACGGTGGTGGTGGTAGTGATGGGGCGGTAGCAATGATGGTGATGGGTGTGGTGTTGGTGGTGGGGTGGTCGTGGTCGTGGTCGTGATAGTGATGGGGCAATAGCAATGATGGTGATGGATGTTGTGTTGGTTGTGGGGTGGCGACAATGCGGGTGGTGGCAATGGTGGTGGTGGTGGGATAACGATGGCAGTGGTGGTGGTAATGGCGATAATGGTGAGGCAGTAAGGGTCTTTTTGGTGGGGGTAGTTGTGTGGGGTGACGGTGGTGGTGTGAGGTGATGGTAGTGGTGATAATGGTGGGGCGATATAGTGGTGGTGGTGGAGCGATTTCAAACACTACTTTTGGTAAAGTACTAATGAAAAGTTATAAGCCTTAGAAATATTTTTGAAAAGTCACATCAAACACACCATTAGAAACTTATTTTTCGTATTAAATTTTGAGTGTTAATATTAGTCATCGAATCAACTTTAAAATAGAATTTAAGAGATCTCAACCATAAAAAACAAAAGTCATTTTGTTTATCTTTTGAGATTTGAATTGTATTGTACTTTATTATATAAGATTAATTATTACACGTGTCTAAAAATAAGGAGTAATAAAAAAAAATAGTCAACAATAAACATATATATATTCACACCCTGAATCAAATCCTAAACATAGAGGAGAAAGAAAAGAATTTAAATACCAATTATAGTTGATGTGAGCAGTGGTAGTAACGGTGGGCTATAGTGGTGATGGTGGGAAATAGTGATGATTGTGGTGGGTGGTGACAGTCGTGGTGGTGGTGACGGTCGAGGGCTGCAACGGTGATAATGGCGGTGAGTTTTGGGTGACAATGGTGTTAGTAGCAGCCATAGGTGACAACGGTGTGGGTGGTGATAAGCGACGGTGATGGTAGTTGGCAATGATAGTGATGGGACGATGATAGTAGGCGATGACGATGGTGGTGGTGGTGGACGACGATGGGTGTTTCTAGGCCATAGTATAATGGGTGGTGGTGAACGACAATGGTGTTGGTGGTCGTAGGTGTACTGAGGGTAGGTGACAGTGGTTGGCAATGACGGGTTGTGGTGGTTAGTGGTGATAGGTGTGGTAAGGGTGGGTGACAATGGTTGGCGACGATAGGGGGTAACGATGGGTGGTGATGGTGGTTAGTGGTGATAGGTGTGGTGAGGATGGGTGACAATAGTTGGCGGCGATGAGGGGCAACGACGAGTGGTGGCGAACAACAATGGTGGTGGTGGGTGCTGACAGTGGGTGACGATTGTAGTGTGATGATGATAGTAGTGGTAATAAATATAAAAATGAGATAACGATGGTGTTGGGTGGTGACAGTGGGACAGTGGGGGAGGGTTATGGTGGTGGTGATGAATGTGGTGGTGATGGTAGGAATGATAGTGGGACATGACGGTGGTGATAGGGTAACGACAACGGTGTTGGTTGTGGGTTGTGGAGATAATGGTGATGGTGGGACAGTGGCGATGATAGTATTGGTGGTAGTAATGGTGGTGGTGATAGTGGTGGTGGTGGTGGAGTGGTAGTAGTAGTGTTGATGGCGGCGATGACGACGGTGGTGGTGGGGCAGTGGCGTGGTGGTGGTAGGGTTGTTGGTGGAGCGATTTCAAACATTACTTATTTTTTTTAAGTATTTATTATAATATTAAATTTGAGATATTAATATTAATTGTAAGATTTTTTAAAAAATAACATTTAAAAAGATCTTAACTACAAAAAAATAGAAATCAATTTCTTGTTTTTTTTTTGATTGCATACACACATATGTATGATTGCATACACATATAGAAGCAGAGAGGGAGACATGACGTGCTTACCATGAGAAGCAAAATGACCATTCTCAATCAGCAGGTCCAAGTGATAGTTCAAGGTGAAAACCAATGCGGGTTCCGTCCAAAACGAAACATTCACAAGGTTATACTTCTCGGCAACTGTCGCCGGCCACGCAAAAAAAGTGTCGGCGATCAAGAAATACGCCGACGACGGATCTGACTTCACCATCCGCCCCACGTATTCATCGACATGGGTCTGAAAATCCTCCAAGATACACTCCCAATACTGCACAAAATTCGAAGATCGGTCGAACTCCAACGGAAGTCCGTCGGTGATCGTCGTGTACCGTATGTCGAGACCGGAATTACGAGCTCCGGCGAAGATGTCATGTTGTTCGGTGGTGGTGTGTGTTTGGGATTGGGATTGGGTTATCTGGTGGTGAATGTGTTGAGTGTGGACGAAGGTGATTGTGAAGCCCTTTGAAGCAAGCTTCATGGCTAGATTTACGAAGGGGTTTATGTGACCTTGGAGAGGGTATGCAATCATTATAGCGTGAAGCTTCTGGTGAGTTCCAGCCATGTTCTTCTGTAATAGTGTTTTAACTTTCAAGGGTGGAGACTGGAGAGAGAGAGAGATTGCATTAAGTTTGTATCACCATGAAGCATATATATATATATATATATATATATATATATATATATATATATATATATATATCCAAACATAGAGAATGGACATGGGATAGTGAATATGCCGTCTGTTTGTCCTTTCCTTTTGGTCGTAAGGGTTTTGATGGTAAAGACATTTCTAAAAATTTATATAATAAAATAGAGTATTTTACATTGAATAAAACACAACAATGGTGAACAACACATGATGAAACGAAGAAGAAGGATTGACGAACTCGTTTAGATCTGACAACTTATCTCATGATTTACATTTTAATATCAACACTGATTAAATTTTAGGATCAAATTTAGAACCCAAATGACATAACAGTTGATTTGAACTTCTTTGATTGGTGTCATGTCATTTGGGTCTCAATAAAAACTTCAAATAATCAACTGTCACGTCACTTGGACTCTAAATTTGGTCAGTGTAGCATTACTCTTTTAATATTACAACCATAGTATATCAGTTTACGTACATTTAATATTTTAATCATATTAGACATGTTAAATATTTTAATCATACTCAATTTATATGCACGATATTTCAACCACACACTTAAATCTAAACAACAATAAATATTTTAATCACTCAGTTAAAATAATTCTCAAAAGAAAAAAAAAATTACCTTTATAAATTGTTATGGTCGGGTGATCCCTTAGTCCAACCTGATGCACATGCTCTTTCTGTATTTCATTACATTCTTTTCTCCAAACAAGTAGAACTTATTCCTTTTTCAAACCCAAAGATGATTGTTGTCTAAGCCTTCTCTTGATGCCAAGTGGTAACCAATAAGGAAGAAATTTTGATAAAACAGACCAAAAACTCTCATCCAAACTAGAAACGTTGGCATTATAATTAAGTGGATTAAATACCTTTGTATTATAATCAGTAGTAATCTATCTGGCAAATTACATCTTATGCATACCAAATAAATGTAATACAATGAACACAAATGCTCCAGTCCAAAAACAACTCTAGATAAATAAATAAATGGGCGTATAACATGTCTTATCTATTGTATTCACTACTTTACTTATTGCAGGTAGTTGTTCACCTAAATTGACTACGACAATAGTACTTTATTTGTGTATGGTTAGACATCATTATCCGTCCATTGAAATCCTTTCCCAAAAAAAATGTAGTATCATGCATTCATGGTAAAACTAGTAATGCATTAGCTGGTCCGCTGGGATTGATCTCCTTTATAGATTGGCAATTATCATAGGTTCAAAACTACCATTTAAAACACTGCAGATCCATTAACATGCCATAAAGATAAAATCCATCAAACAAATAGTACCTGTATGTGCGATCTCAAAAATAATAAATACCAAAAGGAGCTCAGAATAAATCATTGAAAAGCATCAAATGTCAATCTTCCAAGAGGCCCCTCATCCAGATAACCAAATTATTTGTCTTTTAGGGTGTTCTGCACATCAGCATTTACAATAACATAGGATAAAGATTTATGGCAACAATATAAGAAGTTGGGACAGATTTCAGTAAAAAGTTTATCCACATCCATTTCTGTACAACAGAAGTTGCTTTTAGATCAGGAACATACATTCAGGCATGCCTATCTTTCTCGGCTTGCAAATGCAGAGAGCCCCTTTCCATGTCCCTTGAGTCAGCTATACTGGGGAAAGATGCAAGCCAGCCACAAGTTTCCAGCAATGAAGCACGTGCTCTTCAAATCGCAAGGCCCAGAATTGTCTCCGCGTTCTACCTTGGTACATGTCAAACTTCACTGCCAATTTTAAAATCTGAAAAGGAAGCAGTTTCTTGAGCTTGAACTGTTGATGCTGGTTCTTTCTTGTCCAATCCAAAGAAAGAGCAATTTTGAAACGCATCCAGACTGCTGGCTATAAGGCGGTTTAAACTGCTAAGGCTATCACTAAAAATTAGATCGTCACTAAGATATCTACATGGAGGTACATCCAAGTTTAACGGTCCTAAAGAGTCAGGCTGCAATAAGGAAAAGATGAAATTAGGTCATCTGCCTTAAAATCCTCACATGGAAACTAAACTAAAAGAATATACAGCCCCAAAACTACTTGGCTCTTGTCATCGTTATAGGAGAGATTTCTCAAAAGTAAACCAGAAATATACATTCACTATGAAAAAGAATGTACAAAAAAATACCCAATATATATCAGTAAGTCCGCTGAGATCCTTCGCAGAATCGTCCAAAATATGTGCATCAGACTCGCACTCATCCATTGGCTTTCCATCAGCTGGATTATCATCCACAGACTCCTCCGCTTCAGGCGTCTCCTACATAAAAAATTGAAATGATGTATGCAATACTTTGCAAGCAACTATTACTTCTGCTAAGCACTAAGATCACATGAAAAGAGCGTGATGATGAAATAAAACCTCAACATCAGCGTCTGATGCCACCAAACTCATTCTAGCTATCCTTTTGCATGCCTCTGGAGAAGCATCCCTAGATCCACACTGAACTTCCTTACAGAAAACACCATTCTTTTGGAATGCGAAGGCATCACATGTTTCTTCGGCATCCCAAATGGAAGATGCAATAGGTGGCTGAAAGCCAGTTTTGCCTTGATGTTTATATATATGAGCAGCAATTGCAGCATCAAAAGAGTCACAGCTGAATGGAATTTGTTGAATACATTGAGAGCTGCCGGATGAGGGTGGATTAATGCAATTATCATTTGTGTTATGAGATGCCTCAGAGAGTAGATCCCCAACACTTATGTTGGTAAGGCTATCAGCCCATTCCCCAGCTGATAAAGCAGCACCCTTGCGTTTCCTCAAGCAATCCTAAACATAAACAAAATGGAAGTTTAGAAGGATACATTGGTAAACAAATAAGCTGTCATGATAGTTTCAAGCTTTTATAATTGTTGCAGTCATAACTTTGATAGAATATAATGAGTCAGAGCTAAACGAAGCCCAATGTGATTCCATAAAAAACAATGCCTCATGGAAAGTATGTTTTCTACCTGGAAAGAGAACAAGCATCTCTATTTTTGCCTTGGTAAGTTGAGGCTAATTTCTCAACGAACAATCTTTCCCTTAGTATGTGTCAGGTAGGCATATTTTGGCAGAAACATGCCCTCAAATGATCAAATAAACATTTTGCAATATTATGTTCGACTGAGAAAAGCATATTATCACTGCAGTTGTTCCAATCTATCATTAATATTATCACCATTGCCTTGAAAGATTAGAACAAAAAAGTTTCTCATCGGCAGTTCTTCCCGAGGATTAAAATTTTGTTTTGGTGCATTGTTTCAGTCACCCAAGAAAAAAGGAAATGTTTCCAAAATATTTCAGAAACAGAATGAAAACAGAGAAAAATCTAAAAGAAAATCTAGATGAAGCAAACTGCAACATGATTAAGACACATAAATTAAGCAAATCAATCAATACTGGCAAGATAACTCGAAAGAGATAGAGAAACTAATAGCGTCACACACTGGCTGATTGATTTGGAAAGTTAAAGTTCTAAGAGAAGAAGACGACTGGAGTTCATGCTGAAAGCCTGAAACCAATAGAGCAGAAGTCTCACACCAACAAAATATGCAATTTTTTTGACAGGGTAGCAATATTCAAGTCAAAAAGCATTTAACCAGGTTAAAAAGCTTGGGCTGCATGTGAGAGTAGTTAGTGTATGCATGGGTTGCAAACCTGCATTCATTCCTATAAATAGAAAAGCATGGTGAGAGAGAAGAAGAAAAAGTACAGTATTTTCCACTTGTCTCATGATAGCTCCACTGCCAGCCTCCATATTCTCCCATGAGATTGTTTCTGGTTGATCAGTAGACTCCGAAAGATTATTGGAGGGACCTGTGCTAACACACCCAGCCATCTCACTGGGTACATCCGTGGAAGAGGGAGTCAGAGTAATGATTCTTGTGGCTGAGATTAGTTGGTCTTTATACGGCGCAATACGTTTCTCAGACTCATGATCAGTAGGTGGCGTAGCTACTGGTATAGCATCCAGATTCTGCTCTTTTGTATTGTCCATGCTCGCAGCATTCACATCAAAAAGGGTAGATGAAACTAAAGGTGGTTGAAATGTTGTTGAATGAAGATCGGCATTTGAAAACCAACCATACCTTTATATGAGAAAGAGAACCAGTCATTATCCTTGAAGGCGAATATTGCCCTACAAAAACAGAAAAATAAAGACAAAAAAGGGAAAAAAACCTTAGGCGGAAAACTGGAGGGCTTCCAATCAGTGCATATACATCTGCTGCACTAAGAACAGAGTCCTTAGTCCATTTCCGACAGTTCACCAGGTTTTTCCTTTCAACGCAGTAAGGGAAAAGCATTAGTTCTCCAGAGGCAATATTTGAGTTTCCCCACTTGCGACTGAGATGCTCCAATACCGATGCTATCTTTTTCCGAGTACTTAAAGTGAGCTCCAGGTGTGGATTATGATTATCCTACAAAAAAAAAAAAAAAACTCAAATGATGTGACATCACTCAACAAATACATTGTTTAAACATCTTTAACATTGAGCTCTCAAGAAGAATTTCCTTTGACCTACCATTTCCAAGGCTCTTCTAGTACCTTCATCCATTGGGAACAATTGAAGCTTTATTTTTGTGGAGTTTTGTACATTGTTCTCAAGAAACAGATTGTGGGGAAAAGTTGGTAAATTAGACACATCTTTTCCAATAGGGTCAAAACCCTCTTGCCCTGAAAAACAGATTGGCTCATCAGATTGGAAAAAATTAGACAGGTTTTACAAATCTCGCATACAGCTCCTGGCTCCAGTGACTTTACTAATGTATCAATTACAGCTCACCCTGTGTACCCTGGACATATTCAACCAGTTGATCAGTAGTTGTCCGCTCCAAATGCTCGGCAGCATCAGCAACCAATGAAACCCCAGCAATCGCAGCCTTCTCCCATTTTTTGTATGCAGCTGCAGACACAGTACCTGTTAGATATCCAGCCAAGACCAGACCAAAATGGTGTATCTAAGTGACAAGAAGAAGAAAAAAATCAGATATAAAGCACAAAATAAAAAAAGTGCTGTGGCGAATCACAGCAAAGAATGTCAAATGCAACAACCATAGATCTGTTTGTTCGTCTACAGATACAATGCAAAGAAAAGTGAATCTAAGTCTCAAGTTACATAACTTGGACTGAAGAAATAAGTATTCCAGTAGATGAAAACAAATCCTGTCAGGGGTCTGTAAAATATGGAGTCTCAGTTGGCAAATGTTATTATAGACAAAACAGAAATTTAATATCCAAATAAAGTTTTGTAACTTGTGAGATAAACCATAAATTCTCATGCAGCAAACGTGGAAAAGGAGAAACTCTGAATAGCACACTAACAAGGATGCAAGTGGAAAAGCAAAGGAAAAGATCCAGAATACATTAACAGGAAAAGGATATGAACAATGAAAGTACAACCTCCCCACTAAAAAATGATGTGCCTGACAAAACAAAAAGAACTACATGATCACTATGATGGATGAAGACAGGAGGTGTCTAGCATGGCAAACTCTGAAACCTGCAATATGATTGTGGACACAGACAGCAAAATATGAATGTATTTACATAAAATGACACTGCATAAAAAGGGGAAGAACCAACTTCAGTTCGTAGGCTAACTTCAGTAAATAACAGAGTAGAGGGAAGGTAGTACATGACACTACATTAAAGAGGGAAGAACCAACTTCAGTTCATAGACTAACTAAAGTAAATAACCGAATAGAGAGATGGCATGGAAGCCGATTATAAACTTACAGGTACAATCTTTGTGATCCAACAGGCAGACAAAAACATTGCAATTGCATACATAACACAAATAATGCAGTCAATAAGATGTTTGAGGAAACACAAACTCAATGACCTGAAAAACTATAGAATTTGGCACATATTGGATGATGCAGAAGCTGCTTAGGAGCTTACATAAACATATTTGAGACTTATTTTTAGTTACTTTGAGTTAGGTTGCTAGTATGAGAACTTTTATGCCTTTTATATATTTTTTTGAGTCACAGGTATTTTTATTATTTTGACATCTGTTGAAACGGCGGGTTATAGTATGACCCATGGGTCATCTTTTTGGTCAATTGGATGTTTCTAGATGTAGAGTCCTAATTGTAGTCTATAATCATTCCCTAATCTATATTGGCATGTAATATGGCCAGGCCGCACTGCAAGACTCCACCAGAAGTCGATTCTTTCTTGTGGACTGGATTAGAAAATGCTTGGAACTCTATATATACCTAGGTCCAAATCTCTCAAAACTTCACTGGGATGTGAATGAATGCTTTCTTACTAGAATTGTTGTTCTACCTTATGCACCACAAATGGAATAGGAAACATTACTTGCCAATATCATCAGGCCAAAAAGTTGCTTAAAAACAATAATAACATTCAGATATTAGCTACTCCCACTTCTAATTGTACATTTCTCCAAAAATATGCAAGGGAAAAAGAAGTACACTTATATTGCGTCTCAAATCTGGGCTAAATAACTAGAAAATTTACCTGTTTTCCGCCGATGTCTTGCCGTTTTAGGCAATGAGTCTCCTTTGCAGTTGCTACGATTAATGCCCATATTTACATTGCGCCTTAATGAAGATCCTTTCCCAGAACCTAATTTCTGAATGTTTTGACTGTCAACAAGAACCACTTTAACTGCACGAGTATCATGCTCCGATGCTCTTCCCTGATTTGAGACCGTAGTTGAGGCTCCAGTAGAATTGTTTTCCCCCTGGCAAGGTCGTTTTCTCTTTTTCCGGTCTTTCAAGAGTTGGTGTTCCTTCATGACAATAAAAACAAGTGAGTCCAACAGATGCAGAAGAAGTTAAGCTCCACATACACAATATCATCAAGGAATTTTACAGTGTTGACTAACCAAGGTCTCTACAAAAATCTTAAATCTTCGGGGCTTTAAGTGAAGCTTTGAGGCCTTGCAGCTGTATTTTTCTAGTAAAGACCACCTAAAACAAAAGTCACATGAATTAGGAAAATGCCTCACCATACCAGAAAAAATATCCCATGAAAAAAGTCCTACGTTTATCAAGTTACACCAACATTGTTACACAGAAAGACTCCAAAAAATTCATGTTTCTTCATAAATTCAGATAGATAATACTACCATATGAATGTATATGCCTAGTTTTCTGCCCACCAATACTAACAATGCCCCACTTCATAGGCAAAAATGCTGTATTCGTTTATTATAATAATCCCTTGTACAGATCTCCAAATTTAGGAAGGAATATCAAATTGTTCTTCTAATGCATTTCTTCCATCTACTAAATTAGTAACCCTTACAGAAACACACAGCAGGAAACCATAAATATTGAGTTTTTTCCAGAAAGTAAGCAGAAGTTCCAGTAAAATAGCATCTATACATTAATGCATGAGTAGCTGGGTAGCAAAACAAATGAAGCACTAACAAGATGCCAAAATCTTGTTCCAGATTACCTAATTCTTATACTTCCTTACGTATCACATGATGCTCCTCTTAATTAGCATTCATATTAAAGATTACCTTACACTGCTAAATCAGCTCAAAGATATGCCAAATTTTGTTACAAAATTCCAAGGTCTTCTATTATCTATATATTTTTCACATGATGCTCCAACACATCAAGTCTCTTAAAAATTCCATAGCACCCACAACTATCACCAATTTTGAAAAAAATAAAGGAAAAAAAAAACACAATAAGTTGAAAAAGAAATGGTGGGTGCCATAATAAGAAATAAATATAACAATCTTGTTACCATGTGTATGAAGACACATTTAATATGAAGTTAATGGTTACCATCGAAGCATTGCAGCATTAGTATCCTTGGAGTTTTTGGCATCAAGACAAAGTTGTGGACCCAGCAACTTGTTCATACGCCTTACAAGTCGATAGTAATAATGTCTGACCTGGAAATGATAGCCATAGAAACTCAGTACTTTAGAACCCCAGGATTCACGGAATCAGAATTTTCCAAACTTAAGTGTGTAACAATGACCTGATCCTTATTTTTACTTTGAACTCGACCGGTGATCTTTTCGAAGTTCTGCAAAAAGACATGAACTCAGTTGGGAGACATCTTAGCCATGGTGTCAGACAAGAAATTTATGGCAAAGAAAACCTTGCCTTTCCAACTTGTCGTAGTGCACCAAAAAAGCTTTCTTCCTCTTGGCGCGTCCAAGCAGCCCATTGCCGCGTTTGTTTTTTGGCTGCATTGAGAATTACATTCCAATGAAAGGTAAAACTAGCTAGTTCCATATAGTTTACACCATCACCAAAACACCCTCATTAAGCAAACAGATTAAACAAACTTAAGTCATGAAAAGGCCAAAAGCATACCCGGCTGCTGTGATGCAACGTGATCTAGTGAGGCTGTGATTACACCACAGTCCGCATCCTTAAATAAAATATTCTCAGTATGAAGGCATGCCTCACAGTCCAAGGAGACCCGTTGCTCCATGTTCATGTTCAAGTCATCAAAGGAACTAGGGTTTCAGGCTGTCCAGCCCACAAGGTGTCATACAACACATCCTTTCATCTCCAAATTTCCAAAGGCCAAGTCTAATGAAAACAAGTAAAGATAGTTATCATCTAAGAAAAAAAAATTACAACCGACTACGAAAACACAAATCTAACAAATGAGAAGCAAGCATGTCAAAGCCCCCACCAATAAAACTCATTCCTGGAATGATATGCACATGCAAACTAACCATCAGCTTCCCCCCCCCCCCCCCTCCAAAAAAAAAAACACAAAAAAATCCACACTCAACCCCAAAAAATGCACTATCTTAATGTTTGATAAACCTAAAATATGATAATTCCATCCACTTTTTTGCTTTCAGCAAGCAGAAGTTATAAACTGGATCTCCTCATTCGTTGGAAAATTAGTCTCAGCTGAAGAAACGATCTAATCATGATTCTTCAAGTAAAAAAATGATAGCAAATAACATATTTACAATCTAGAGCTAGTATATTTACTTATAATAGAACACAACATTAATCATGCAACCAATCATAAAGAAGTTTCTGGTAATCTCATAGAAAAGAAACTGTATGAGAATAGACATAATCGGAGAAAATGAAAAGACCCAATTTTTGTGACCTAATGCACCTTGCTAGATTAATAATGCACTACAAAATCCACTAAACAAAGATCAAAAAAGTTCTTTTTTCCCGTTTCCTTTTCAATGTGCTAATTTCTAGATTGTATAAAAACTGAATTTCATTTTCCTGAGTGAGTCACATGTATGAAACCCATGGTCGTCTCAACATTATATTCAAAAAAGCATGGGCTTTAAGCCCTACATATCGAAAAGGCCCCAAATTTTATAGTTCAATAATGAAATATAGATCAATGATTAAAACTCATTATAATTTAGCTTAACAAAAAAACTCCTGAAACTCTCATCATATGATTTCAATTTCAGGAAAACAAAAGGAATTAAGACTCATACAGAGAGAGAGAGAGAGAGAGAGAGAGAGACCTGGGATGCGTGTGGCTTGTGGCTTGGAAGAGAAGGCAGCGAGAGAGGCGACAGTCTCTGAAACTCAAAGAGGAGGAGACGCTAGGGATCAATCGACCGAGAAGAAGAAGAAGAAGAAAGAGGCGAGAGTCTCGTAGACTCGAAGGGGAGGATGCGCTAGGAAATTTAGGATTTTTGAAATTTAGGATTTTTGTGCACACGTTAACATGTACGAGCTATGGATTTAGACTTAAAAAATATACTTGGTACATCGATTTCAGTCTAATTTCTAACATTTATTATGATTCCTTATTTATTTAATAAGTTGTGATTATTATGTCTAATTTTTAACTCTATATAACATTACTCAACATGTATATATTTAAAAAAAAATTATACATGTGAATCGAGTCTGATCGAATAGAAGTGCAAAAATTTTATGGTATTTCGCATTCCTACCGAAAAACCAAATATTCTTTCGTTAGCCGACCGATTTTATGAAAGCCGATCAATCATGTTGAGTGGGGTCGAAATTGGTCCGGTATGGGAAAATTTGAACACCCTTACTTGAAAGACGAAGTCAACAAAATAAAATTTAAAATTTAAGTCAAAAAATGTAGTCTTTCTCACACATACACATTTTAAATGACAAAAAAAAGTTAACACTAAGATAAAAAAAAATATAATAAGCATATCTCTTCTATAAATAAAAATATATTAAACACATTTTCTATTTTTCTCAAACTTAATTTTATTCGCATTTAAACATAAAAACATCAACTAATTAAATGTTTATTTTCATAAAGGATTATAATAAAAAGTAATTAATATCAAAACAAATTTCAATAAAGTTATTATCGGGAAAAATAAAATACAATAAAATAATAGGTGAACATTGTATACATAAACAAGTTAAGGATCATAAAAAAAAAGTAAAATAATTTAATAAAAATGAATTATAAATGTATACTGATAATTGATCATGTAATACCACAATTTTTATGAACAATATCCAAAACAAATAAAAAAAACATAAAAGCAGTAATGAAACAATAGGTGGTATCCCAAAAAGTGCTGATCAAGGAAGAGATAAGAAAGACAAACAGATATGCAAATTTGTTTGTTAAAAAATGTGTACTTAGTCATGATAATCTATATATATTTACAATTCTTATGAATTATTATTCAACAATTGTACGTAGGTAACATGTGTATTAAATAACACATATATAATGTTTAATATATCTTAGATGCCTAAATTACTAAAAAAAAAAAAAAAATTATGTGACACCATGTTGTAACATTAAATATCTTTACTATGACAGTACCTTATAATGGTCTACACATAATTTGAAAAATTAAAGAAATGCATAAAATATAGAATAACACATATATTACATTTAATCATTGCGTGTCATTCAGTAATCAATTTGTTTTACTTAATCGGTTCAATGGACACAGACTCGACAATGAGGGATGAGTAGAGACTGCAATTGTTGCGAGATGCTCAAAAACTTTGATCTTTTGGATGGAAGGAGCCAAGCAGGGCCAGCCCTAGGCCCCAATCATTAAAATAGTCACCTAAGGCCTCAAAAATTTATAACCCCAATTTAATTTTGAGATAATGGGATGAGAGTATATTTTTCAAATCTTTTTGATTTTAAGTACCATCTCCAAACTTATCCTCCTTTTAAGTCCTTTTTTTCATCAAATAGTTGCAATAAATACACATTTTAAAACTTTTTCAAATTCTTTCTAAAATGCATTTCATAATTACCTCAACCATAAGTAGTGCATACCTAATTGACAATTTTTATATTTTTAATATCTAAATATTATAATGTGAGACTTTCAAGATTTTTTTTAATATTTGTGTATCATTTGAATTTTAAAATTTCACATATATATATATATATACACACACACACACACATATATATAGTAATATCAAACAGTAACAAAAATAGTAACATCAAACAGTAACACACTAAAAAAAATAATAACATCAAACAATAGTTTAATTGTCACTCTTTACTGACAATACTTGGACACTATTAAAGAGGCATTACATGATGTCATTGATTGGGCCCTCATTGTCATTATCTCGTGCCTCTCTTTGGTGACATTGTTTGCATGACAATTTTTCGAGTCCCTCTTTAGGTGCAACTCTTTGAGTGGACAAATATATGTTGTCATCATTTATGGTCAATTTATTGTTGTCACTCACTGACACTACTTGGACATTATCAAAAGGGTATTACATGATGTCATTGATTGGATCCACATTGTTATTATCCTGTGTCTCTCTTTGGTGACACTTTTTGCATGATAATTTTTTGAGTCCCTCTTTAGGTACAACTCTTTGAGTGGGCAAATATATATGTTGCTATATATATACGTATATATATACGAATTTTCAAAATTTAAATAATACACAAATATCAAAAGAAATATTTAAATTCTCACATTTTAATCTTGAAAATTCACATTCAATTAGGTATGCACTATTTATGATAGAGGGTAAAAGGGCATTTATGACTTTTTTTTAGTAGATGTACTTCTATCCCAATAATTTTAATGTACTTTTATCCTATTAAGTTTTTAGGGAGGTATTGGCCTCCCTAAGCCCCTTTAATTTTTAGCTTTTAGTTTAATTTCATATTATGAGGCCTTTTTGAATGGACAAAGTTAAAAGTCCAATATATTTCACAAGTCTATCTAAAATGTAACAATTTCACAAGTTTACATAAGCCTTATAGATAGTAATAAAATATATCAAATCATTCTAAAAAAATTTTAAAATAACGACTTCTAGTTTTAAAAGTTACAATCCTTTTCTATTTTTTCCTTCACTCTTACCGCCTCTCTTCAACTCATTCTCTCCCTCTCACTCTCATTGTCTTGCTTTGCTTCTTTGTCATTATCTCTAACTTTCTTGTTGTCACTTTAAGTCTTTGTTCAATTTATTAATGTGTAAGATCTTGACTTTATAATTGCACCTAATTTATTGGTTGATCCCACTCGATTTTAAAACTCCTAAAAAGAAATCATACCGCAACTTTCTATAAAATGTCTAATACTTATTAAAAATATTATTATCTTCATAAAATATTAAATGAACTCATGTAAAATTCTTGCTTTAGGCCCCAATTTGTGTTGGGCCACCCCTAATGCAACCTCAAAGAGGTAAACTACAAATTCAGGTTTTATGCCTCATCTAATTACACTAATCTGAAGCAAGAAAAGCATTGCATATAACAAACAATCTAAATATCTAATCAATGAGTGAAAGAATTCAAAATAAAACAATTATATAGATTCCAGGAATTACAACATCATTTTAACAGGAAATCATTCTCAACTCAATAGCTAACCCTATGATTCACATTTTTTTCCCAGTATAAGTTGAACACAAGTCTTGAATATTAATATATGTATATATACAAAAAAATTATTCACATAATACGCACAAAACAAACATAGACACGAGAGAGAGATCGCTTACCAAAAAGCAATAGAGAGATGTAGAGAGACGAAGCAGACCATAGATGCGATGTTGTTCAAACCCAGAACCAAACCCTAACCCAGATAAACATTGAACTATGGTTAAATTTAAAGTTTGTTGATGCGTTTGAGAGATGATATTACTTGCTAGCGCCACACGTGAGATTGATTTTTCAAAAAAACACATTCTTTTGGGCTTTGTTTGTGTTAGGCTCACACCTTCATTAACCCCCAAAACCTCCTCCAACAATATTAATCCTATACAAATATTTAGTCTTTTAAATAAATAAATGTTTTGAATTCCCAAAAATATGATATGAATAAAGAAAAAGGTATTATGGAAGGTATACATATCTATTTTTCTGAATAAAAGTAATTTTGATTGAATCACGTATCTTATCTAACAAGCATCAGTGATGTGAAAATCTGATTGTCTGTTAGAGATTATACGGAAGTTGGGAGGCTAACCAAACCACTAGTTAGGCGTTGAAAATACTAATAAAGTCGTCCTGAATAAAGAGTTATGGAAGTCAAAGCCATTGATATGTGTTGACTTGAGACTTTTCAAAACTTAAATCAAATTTAATGATACTAGTGTTTAATGAACAAAATTTAACTTTTACACACTTTTATGTATTCTTTTATCTATCCGAGATGTATTAGAGATACACCTTGTTTATAGAAATTAGTTTTTATAGAGAGATTTTTTTTATGTACGTGTTCATTTATTTTCCTTTAATGGTAGATCACTTACAATAATTTCAATGAATCATTTATTTATAAGTCTTCTTACTCTATTTCAATTCTAGCCAAAAAAACGAACCGATTACTTTCTTAGAATATATTTGGCTAAACATGACTCCCTTCTTGCCTTCGTTTAAGTTGTCCGACTGAAATTAGATATAATATATATATATATACTAATCATTCCCGTGCCTGAAGGCACTATACAAAAAATAAAAAAATCTTAAACAATTATCCAAATTTAAAAGGAATGGTCTAAAATATGCATATCAATTCTTATTTTAAAATGACTTCAAATATATCGTGGACCGTATCCTCCATATTAATGGAACTGTCATAAAAATATATACTGTCACAAGAATATATAAAAACTTCTCAAAACAACACCATATATATAATTACCTCTTAAAAAAATACTAACATAACTCATTGAAATTTACAATCTTTAAGTAATAAATAATATAAATAAAATTGTACTTATTTAAAAGATCCACGAATTTATGACTTTTACTATTACTCAATTCAATGATACAATATAATTATAAACTCAACCACCGTATTTTTAATCCACCTTATCCCCATATAATAAATACCTCAAGTAAAAAAAATACTAACAGAACACAATTAAATTTACAATCTTTAAGCGATAAATAAAATCAATCAAATGTTACTTATATATAAAACTCATGAATTTATCATAACTATCACCATTCAACCCCAAATTACACAATATAATTATAAATTTAATCACTAAATGTCCAATCCTCTATATATAAATATATGCATAGAAATACACTCACACACATTTCTTTTTTGGTTAACAACAAACTCTTTTAACCAATAGATGCTTAAGTTTTTAAGATAAAATAATAATAAATTAATATTTAA